GAGAGAGAGAGAGGTGCAAAAGAAATTGTGTATATAGAGGTATAGATGACATTAAAGTCTTGATGAGAATGAAGGGGCACATGGAAGCATTCGTCGAGTCCAAGCTAGTGCATTGTCGTGATGTTACTATGGCATTCTCGGAACGGTCAACATCTAATTGCTGATCTGACTGTTTCCCATTTTAAGCAAGACTTTGAATCGCACCGCACAAATTGATTTGGTTCAAAATTGAAGGATAGCCTAATAACATTAGAATTGGTCACCATTTCTGACCCAAGTTTTTCTTGTAATGTTCTGTTTTCGATGGTGACTATCAATGCACATTGCCATTAAGAAGGTTTTCAACTCAAAGCCAGAATAAGAAAACCACTGGTCGGTCGAAGATACTACAAGGGATGATGAGTGTATTTTGATCTCCGACCTCCTAGTCCCCGAGCAAAGGATTGACTTTACTTACCAGCCTCCGTAAGTTAAAATCGAAGTATCTATTATAACAAAATGTGGGAAAAGGTGGTCAAAGATCGAAAATACAAATCGCAGATCAAGATTCATTGATTCACTTTGGTGCCGAGTTAGGGAAGTACTTCAACTGTTTGAAGCCAAAGCCAAGTAACTAAGGTGTAGAGGTTTAAAGGATAAAACATACATATATATATATACCCCCAATAAGGTGTGAAATCTTCTCAATTATGTGCATGTTAAACTTGTAGTTGAAATGCAACTCTTGAATGCGATTAATTATTCAAAAACCACATGCATTTGACATTCTTGATATGTTACTTTTTCTACCAAACTAAATTATTAAAACACTTGGTTTCATGAAATAATCATCGAAGACCATAGATGGAGATCTTGAGAAAGCCATAAATTTATTTCATTTTCTATTTTCCATTTTTTCCTAATTTGTATTCATAGAAAAGATGGTAAGTAATATCGTAGCAACGCAATTGGTTAAGTATTGACGTGATTATGTCATCTCTATTAGGGAATGTTTCCACATTCAATTGACAAATACTCCTTCCTTCAATTATAGAAGTTGTACACACATGTATACATAGTTCTGTTTTACAGCAGGTACCTATGGTTATTTGTATATTTTCTTAATAATTCCACTAGAATTAGAACACCATATTGGAAAATGCCATTGGGAAGTATCCTTTCTCCTTCTTGTAGCTTTTCATAATATTTCCAAATGCCATATTTTCAAACATAATAGAGTTTTTACCCAAAGCGAGCTCGCCACCAACTATCACGGTGTCATCTAATCAAATTTGTCCCTTTTTAATGCTTTTATCCCGATGATCATTATTTTAATAAATAAAATCAATTTTTTCATAGAAGAAAACAAAAAAAAAAATTGAATTTCTTGGCGAAGGCTAAAAAATTCTACCGAATTATCATGATGATAATCTACGACAACTTTTTCTTAGGTATCTGGTATTTGTCCTAAGATATACGAAAAAGATAATACATTCATTCGTATAAAGGAAAACTAATCATCCTAAGTTTTACCAGGTCAGCAGCCCACGTGGTGGAAGAACCTTTACGCAATTGAGGCTCTAAATTACAATCACATAACTTAATGCAATAAAAAGAAATGAGGTTTCAATGTAAACCTCGATTTTTCACTTCTTCTAAGGTAACTCAGACAGGTAGAAGCATAGAGAATGTTTTTTTTTTTAATTGAAGCGTACATTGTATTGTGTTAAAAAAAAATTTGTAAACTTGATTCATTATAATCAATGTCGTGTTTAAGTTTACACCATTAAGGATTAAAATTTTGTTTCTGTGCATAGTTTGGATGAGTTTGAAAACGAAAATGTATTGATAATATTTTGGAAATAAAATAGAAATATATAAATTTTAGAAAATTTATTTTCGTAACATTGATCAAAATATAGATCAAACATGTCAAAACATCTCGAAATATAAGAATTTTGATATTCAATTAATAATTCATTTCATTTTTAATGAAACAAAAACATTTCGAACGTTTCGAAAAAAATTTTAATTTCTTGTACACCATATAAAATTGCGTCTAGCCAAATTCATGCCTGGGAGAATTCAATTTATGTTGTTCATCTACCGGATTCTAGGGAGAATTATTAATCATTCATGTTACACAACTGAATGAAAAACGAAGTACATAATAACCAAGGAAAGATGATCCAAACGGAACTCGATCTAAGAATGCAAATCCCTAACTGTATGGCACGCAAATGATCAGAACTAATGATATTCAGGGATTAATGAGTACTGATTAGTTTAGTCGGAGCTTCTAGGCTCTGAAGAATCGAACGGGGAAGTGGGGGATGGCACACAACGGATTTCTAGTGGTTTACTAGTTCAGAGCTCAATTAATCTACTCTTGAAGGACTCTCTTGCTCTTGGGGGTGATATTATTGATAGGAAAGAGGATTTTACACATAGTAATGTTTTAGCCAAATTGGTCATGCCCTATTGTGAGGGATATGTCTCCTATTTATAGTCTTTCAAAGCATCGCTTGATATTTGGCGCGATTCTTACATTGTCGTTGTAACGGTTGCACCTTATGTGCGATTGTCATAAACTTTGTTGAAACGGTTACGATTTCCTTACTCAAGCATGAGACCGTTACGATGTCTAGGTGGTACTTGGGTGGAGGTCAACTGTCATCCTTACTGTTCGTGCACTTGCTGAGGAGAGGTGTCGACCTGAGCTCCCCTAGTGATGAGCGAAATGATCTGATCTGGGATGTTCCAAGCTGCCTGACCGAGCTCAACCTTAGAATATTCTAGGTATCACCACTAATGCGAAAGCATGAAAGTCCCAATAGAGCACTTTCTCAAAGTGTAACCAAGACACAAATTTTTTTTAGTTCATAAATATACAGACAAGGCATTACACATATTTGTTAAAGAATATTATTTTTTAACATCACACAACTATCTGTGGTCTCATACCTACGTCAAAGCCGAATCTAAAATCTCGCCGCATGCCCTAAGCACTTAAAGGAAAGCTTAGTCTCATTGAGTTGTTGCAAATATGAAAACTCGAACCTAAATATTGAACAAAAAAAATTCAAGTTTTTTGTCCACTAGACCTACCGCTCAATGGTCAGATGCAGATTTTCTAGAGAGATGGATGAAGGGTCAGAGCACATTCACTCTCTTATGTTTCATTTGGTAGGAATGATAAAAAGTATGAGATATACACTTTATTTTTTTTGTGTTTGGTAGGATGGATGACAAATAAAAAATTATTATTTTTTTTTTTGTGCTGGCTAACATTAGGGGTGACAATCGAGTCTTGTCGTGTCAGGTTCATGTTAAATTATTACGGGTTTGTGTCGAATATTAGTTTAACCTAACTCAACTCATTTAACTAATTGTGTTGTGTATTTTCGTGTTATGTTCGTGTTCGTATTCGTATTGACCCACATAAACTTTGAATAAAAAATTTAACGCTAATATTCTATTTTTACTTAATTGAATTCATGTTAATATTTTTTCAACAAACTAAAAATTAATTTAAATAAATATAATAAAAATAATAATAAGTAAAAATATCTGTTTTATATAATAATTATGTCAGTGCTAAATAAATTGTTACAAATAAATAATATTTTATGTCTATAATATTAGTTAAACATGTTAGTTTCGTGTTATTATACAAACTAGAAAATATAAAAAATATTTATTTTTAAATAAACGAGTTGATGGTGTTAATTTTGAGTTTGACAGGTTAAACTGAATATGAACCGTTTATATTTCTTATTCACGTGTCAAGTTATTTCAAGTTTGTGTCGAGTAATAATCAAATTCGAAACATAAAATTCGTGTCAACTTTGAGTAACGTCATTGTGCTGAGTCTAAAATTTTCACCTCAAAAGATGTATGAAATTGCAAAAAAGACTCGTGTGAAGTGGACAGAGACTTAGCTGATATTTAAAATATATATATAAACATATATTTTATTATTGTATTTTTATATGAAATTAATTTATATATCAAAAGATATATAGACAAATAGGATTAAATTTTAACACAAATAATTAACTTTTCTTCTGATTTTTGGAGGGATTGATTTTGGTGAGTTAGAAGGATAGTTAATTTATCAATTGTTCTATCTTTTCTATTTTCTTTCATTACCAAACATGATATTTTATTTATCCTTCTAACTTTCCATCATTTTATTTATCTCTCTAACTTTCCATCTTTCTATTTTTTCATCATATCAAACGAAACATAAAAGTGTAACTAAGACTCAAATTTTTATTAATACATAATTATATAGATAAGTTATTTAATATATCTGTCAGAGAATATTATTTCTCAACACCATACAATTATTTGTAGTCCTACACTTACGTTAAAGTTGAATCTAAAGTCTTGTTACATGCTCTAAACACTGAAAAATAAGTTTAGTCTTATCGAGTTATTGTAATTATGAAAACTCAAACTTAAATATTTAACAAAAAAATTCAAATTTTTATCCACCGGACCTAGCGCTCAATCATGCAGATTTTTAGAAAGATGGATAAAGGGCCGGAAGCGGGAGCACATTCACTCTCTTGGTCTCTTTGGTATCTGTTGGGTTCTCTCTCCCCTTGTCTTTGAATAATACTATATTTATCATTATTTTTATTAAATTTTCATTTCAAATGATAAGACATAATTTTTTATCATCAGATAAGTAATATTAATAACAGAGATTATACCACATTACTTAAAATAAAAATTTTAATATAAAAATTTGGTAAGGACAATATTTTCCCCTTCAGTTTTGTCCATACTCCCGCGTTTGTCGCTGAAATGTAATGCCCGCTGCGCTTAGTATGTGTATAGAGCCATCGCCTGTGAACAAAAACTGACTTGTCAGTTCGATCAGATTTCATTAAAGGGAATAGGATTTAGGGTTTGGTCTTAGTAGGCTGTTTGGCCTTTTGTGCTTTTGTCCAACCTCCTCAAGGAAAAAAAAAACACACCAGAGGAGTAGACACAAAAAAAGAAAACAGTTCCAAATTTACTCCTTATAAGGGGCACCAACCACCACTACTCAATACATCTCTCTCTCCCTCTCTCTCCCATCAATCCATAAGAGGAGAATGGACAATCAAGGAAATCCTCTTCTAAATTGGGGTTACTACTGTCAAACAAAGGTAAAAATATCTATCTTCCTCTTCTGCCAAGAAATGTGGTAATCATTTTGAATTCTCTGCATCAGAGATTAGTTGGTTAGGGTTTCTTTGCTTTTCTTGTCAGATATGAACAATGGGGTTTATTTTCATTGCAAACTGAAGGCTGACCTATATTGGGTATTTTCTATTTTTGGTTGAAACAGAGCATGGAAGAGCTGAAGCAATCTCTTTTGCTCACTGCCATGGAGCTACAAAGCGCAAAGCTGAAAGCACATGAGGAGCTCAAAATGAGAGAAGTTCAACTGAACCAACTCAAAGATCTGTTTAACAGAGCCATCAAAGAAAGAGATGAAGCACAAGAGAAATGCCAGAGGCTCCTCTTTGAAAAACTCTTCCTCCAACAACAGCAGCAGCTACAACAGTACCAACAAACAGCTCCACTCTCAGGAATTTCAAGCATTGAAGATGAACCCAGAAGAGGGTTAGACTCCAACAATGGATTTTCATCCTCAGATTGTGAAGAAAGCATTGTCTCCTCACCAGTTACTGACCCAGTTCAACCACCCCAATTACCACGACCACCATCAGAGCAAGAACCTGAAATACTACTAGTTTCAGAGAAGCCATTGCCAGAAAAGGGGAAGCTTTTGCAAGCTGTGATGAAAGCAGGGCCACTCCTTCAGAATCTCCTCCTGGCTGGACCTCTACCTCAATGGCGCCACCCACCACCACCACTTGACACCCATCAGATCCCACCACCACCAGTGGTCATTCCATCAGCACCAACTCCAACACCAACTACTCATCTCCTCTACCAAGACCCTTTACTCAACATTAGTAATTGCAGCAACGTTAATGATTGTGGTAGAGTTAACAGGAAAAGAGGTCCCTTTGAAGGCTTTGATTCTTCCACACAGGTGAAGTACCAAAGGGTTGTTATCCAGTGACAACTACTATTGATGGTAATCCAGGTAGCTATATAATTACCATTGTATACTAAGGTTAATGAGAATGATGTTGCAAGTTGGGTATCAAACTGATCTAGCATTTGTACAGAGGCATGATTTAGAAAGTAAAGATCCCAAATTAGCTAGTTAGGGAGAGGAAAGAAGATACGGCTTGTTCTGGGGTTTTTTGCCAACATTTTGGTTGGAGATTGCGTCTTTTTCCTTCATATGTCAAGTTTTTTCCCCTCTGATTCGAAAAGGGGGAATTGATTTCCCCAATATAATTGTTGATGTAACCTGTGATCTATGATAGTTAAGTTAGTGAATTGGGTTGTGTGTGTGTGTGTGTGTGAGAGAGAGAGAGAGAGAGAGGACATTAAGATTATGGTTGTGGAGTATAGATTATGGTTGTGGAGTTGATAAGATTAGAAGATGGGTGAGGCCAACAAAAAGGAAGGTCCGGGAGCCCTCCTTGTCTGGCTGAGTGGACCCACATATCAGAATCCGGATCAACTGCTCAGTTATGTTAGATTATTTTTATTTTGTATGATGTTTATTAAATCATTCTGCTCTTTCATTATGTAATATTATAATCTGCCTCTTTTACCATCTGCACCCGCTCAGTTTGTTTATACATCTACTCATCTTTGTGATACAGTTGATTTGTTTATAACTCTTGCCTGAACACTTCTTTCTCTTAACCTAAAAGTAAAGCAAACAGGTATTAGTGTTCATCTTCCAAACTGCACAGGGCACTAAAGGCTCCTCTATCGTTTTACTTCCGAACTACAGTATTAAAGGTTTCTCAGTCTCATTTTTGCTAGAATAAACTACCCGGACAAAAAAAGAAACCAACAGAACAGTTTTTTTGGTATATGTACAACTATACCTCCAATTAAGCTTGTCCAATGCGTTACGCCACAATTTTGAAGCTACAGAACTAACATCTTCTTAGTAGAGAAATGCCAAATGCAAAGAATCTTGATCTAAACCTCTCGTGAGGTGCAGCAGTATATCTTCTGCTATGTAAAAAGGATACAAGAAAATATTAGACCAGAAGAAATATCACTAATGAGCCCTTTCACATGTTATGGACACAAAAGAAGAAAGAAAAAATAAACATGCTTACCTTTCTAACATGTTAGTGGCCAAACCCCAAAGGCATCCAATGAATTGGTCAACATGCCAGGAAGATTACAGTTTCCAAATGAATTTCTTTGCCTGGATCACGTTCCCTTGACCATAGTGTTCAAATTATTCTAGAAACAATCTGCCCCGGACATGCAAATGCCAAATGGGTTTATATCGAGTCATCCCGAATCTGATCTCTTCTTAAACACCGATTTGGACACTCCATGGACCGTCCTAAGATTGCACTTGAGCACAATGATCATGCCTCTGATCTGAAAGGGGGTTGGGACCATACCAGCCATGATGTTCCATGTGAGCATATATGCAAGCGATTTCCCATTTCTACATGGAGCCAACCCTACCAATTCACCGTGTACACAAAGTCATGCCAATCAGTATTGAGAAACAATAACTTAGATGAATGGCAATTAGACACACAACAACGTGGGAGATGCTAAGACAGATGGCAGAGTCAGCAACAAGATACCATTTAGAAGACATAAATGGCAAAGGCATGGCACTATGTAAACATTTCGAAGCAATATCATAAAATTCATTCGAGAATTATGCACCTAACCCAGCAAAAAACTTTGGTTGCCCTTACCATCACATGCCTATCATCTGAATCTGAAGGCAAATGAAATAAATTACTGCTCCAAATCGTCGTCCTAATCAGTGTGCAATATGCCGAACACAGCACAACCTACAATGGAAAATGTGATTAAAGCAATGGAATTAAATTGTTTTAATCACAAAAGGGTTAAAAGAAAATAGTGAAGATAACATTTAGTGAACACCACAAAAGAAGATCGACAAGGTAAATCCTGAATTGATAAAATGCATGTGTTCTTACCCACTACATAGGATAGCAAAAAGATGTTTTGGAGGTCACCAGAGAGAATCATAACAATCTGTGTACGATGTTATCCGTGAAAAAAAATGAAGTATCATAGACTACGTCGATTAATTTACCCATCCTACAACACAAGGTGCCAGATATCCCATGTGAACTAGGCACATCCTTTGTAATCTATTATGATGTGGACAGGCTTGAAGTAAGAATTTACAGAGATACAAACTCACGTGTTGGACACCATTAACCTCTTCAATAGAAGTCATTTCTTAAAACGGACAGAAGATTTTAGCACTCTTTCCTCAATCATCTTCATTGTCATATTGGTTTGTCCCATCGATTGTGCTTCTGAGCTGTATACATTTTAGGAATCTGATGACAAGGAAGAGGGAAATAAAGAAAGTGTTCAGATCAATGACAGTAGTAAACACAATAGTGGTGAACAATCAGACCAGATTTTAACAAAATGAAGCAATAAACTATAATTTTCTTTCACCATATCAGCTGATGAGACCTGCTCTAGAATCTATCTTCTCGGACATGAACCAGATGTCGAAATCGAAAAGAAATGACCTATAGCAAGAATACAAGAAACAAGACGACGGATGATGAATAACTTATTGTGTACATGTAGAGAACAGCCTGCATTCCACCTCCCATGTATCTACATTTCCAGTGCATTCATGATGCCGTATTCATTTTAAGTCAAAATACACTTGCACAAACAGAGACAAGTGAATTTACAGATATACATAAGGGCGCCGATAATGTAACTACAGACAACACCCTATGAGCTGAAAGACGAAAAACAAGAGTAGGCAACTCCGAGTGGGTGGGAGCTAAGGGTTTTTTGAGTTGTTTGTGTAAGAACATGACTGCAAGTGCACTAGAAAATGGTAAATTTGATAGTGAGCACAACAAGACTTATTCAATCTTATCAGCATCCGCAATACCAATGGCAGCACGACGAACAGGGCTGATTGTCAGTTCTGCAGCTTTCACCTCCCATATCAGCAAGAAGATACAGCTTCAGATACATGAATACTAGGGAAAAAAACAGCACTCCCAATCAAAAAAGGATGAAACTACTGGTTCATTAAATTAAAATAATCAAGTAAATACAAATTACTTTGAACCACAAAAGCAAACTAGATTTATACTTTGATCCTGATACACGCAGAACAAGAATAGATATCATCAAACTTCCAGAAAAGCGCCACCTTCAGACAATTACTTTCAATCAAGTGGTCAAGAGATGATTCTTAGCTTAAGAAACATGGTAGCAAGATTTCCACAGATAATATGGCGCTTTCCTCTTATACATACCCTGCTAATAATATGAAGAGATTCTCAACATATGTCAATTCACAAAGGAAAAACACCAAACCTACGAGTTGTGTGCAGACTACTGAACCATGAGTCATCATGTTATCAAGGTCTCACATTGGCCAAGTGTGTTTGAGCCATTCACATAACCTCAGTCACCATCAACTTGAAATAAACACTTCGACTTGTCATGCTTCCTGCTTTTATGAAGACCTTTCAATTTAGGTTCGAACAGGGCTCAATGAACCTGACCCCCCTAAGCCCAACTAGACCTGTTGATGGAACTACGCAAGGCTTATAGTAGCTTTATTTGCACTTGAGTTGAAGAACACAACCTAACCTCTAGCCAGGTTGGTTTCAATGAGGAATTGGACAACTGAAGCCAATGCAAACCTGACCCTTTTTAGAGAGACAATGTAATATATAATAAAGTTAGACCAAAGTCAAACTCCCATTGATATGATAACAAGAGAGACTAATTTATTTGCATCAAATTCGGGACCCTAGTAGCCGCAGATGGTTAAACACTTACCTCTTGACATGTTCCACTGTATAATTCTTGAATTACTAAACCTCCAACTTATGTAACAAAATTCAAAAATTCCAATTTCGTTCCCATTTCTTCTGATCCCCTGCTCTGTTTGTCTTCTATCTTCCCAGTAGGTCTGCCAAAGTCTGACAGGACACGCCCTAATTAAAATTAGAAAATATTTTATCAATTATAATTTGACTATTTGTTTATTTTTTAACTTTATTTCAATAGATAGTATAATTGTATACTAATTATAATTATTTTTAAAAAATTAAATTTTTATTCTTGATTTTATTTTAATAAATGATGTAGTAGAACATGAATTTTGGTTGTAAAATTCATATTCTATTATAAATGACTTAAACTCTTTGTTTGATTTTTTAGTTTTATTCCCATATATAGTATAAGTGTATGCTAATCACGATTTTTTAAGAAATAATGAATTTTTATTTTTGAATTTATTTTAATAAATGATGCAATAGAACATAAATTTTGATTGTAATATTTAAAATATTTGACATTTTATCTTTGATTGAAGTTTTTTGGTCTAAGCATAACATTTTAAACATAAGGAATATGAGTATTATACGCTTACAAATTTTAGGAGTCTGTGTATAATTTACTAACAAATATATTCATGGACATTGACGGTAGGAGACAGAGTCTAAATATTATGCGTGTACAAACTTTAGGGGATTTGTATGTAATATTTTAAATATCAAGAGATCTGAGTGATTAAATGAAAAATTTTAAGATGTTTGGTATAATTCTCCCAAAATAATTTTATCATCCAAAAAATTAAATTTGGCATAATTTCGCCGCTCCCCATAGACTATAATTGCTTTGAGATGGATAGGGTTGGGAAGTGGTTCGCTAGAATATGATCTAGTGGCAGATGCCTGGTAAGAGCATCTCCAACGCTCTCGCTAATTGCTTCCTCTACACCATTTTAACGAGCAAATTTCAAATCCCAAGCTCCAACGCTTTAGCTATCCAGCTCGCCAAATAGTTGAGGGTTTTTGCGCTAGCCAAATCTAGTGAGCGTTTACCAGCTCGCCAGTTGCTGCCTTCCCTCCATTTCTGCGCAAGTTCCTTCCATTTTCTCCTTCATCCTAGGCGGATCAAGTATTAAAGTTTCAATGTTTCATTTCCTCCTTTTTTCCACTAGTTCGATCTTTTTTTCCCCAAAACATACAGATTTATTTATGTCAATTTGCAATTATTGACTGCGTTTCAATCGCAAAAAGCCCTTGAATGTCGCAATTAGGTTTTGATGTTGTCTTTTAGGATTTATGTTAAGAATGGGTTTACAAGTGGTGGTACTCTAGTGGCTTCAATGGCGGTGATGATTCGTGGAGGAGGATAGTGGTGGTGGCATGCTCTGGTGGCATGTTCTTCTGGCCCTCGTCTAGTTCTCAATGGATTAGGGGGATGGGGAGTAGTGATGGTGGGTTCTGGTGATGTGGTTTTCGAATGGTGGGTTCTGGTGAAGACGATGAGTTGATAAAAATACAGGAAAACCTCTTTAAAATTCAAAAAAACCCCTTTAAAAATCTAATAAAACTCCTAAAAAAAATTCAAAAATTTAGCAAAACCCCCAATTATTTTATGATATTTACCCTTGTAGCCCATAATTGATTAAATTTATACAATATATAATTGAATTGCTGTTTTTTGAATTTTATTATTGCAAGTTAATTAAATTTAGTTGAAGTAATCAATTAA